AACATATTTAGTTCAACTTTGTCAACAGAAAAATTATTGGTAATGTTTTATATACTATAATATAGGAGAGATGGTTTATGCCCATCTTTTGCAATTTTAATTCCTCTTCTATAGAATATTGGTTCTATTTATTCTGTTTTGTAAATATTTTCTTCCTATTTAACACTATTGAACCGAAGGGAAACTGTAAAATTTGATAGTGGGTTTGATTTAGAGGATGACAAGAAAAACGATGAACAAATGTAAAATAAATATTATTATTTTTCCTGAAAACTATGGAGATATTAAAATTATTAACAATAGATAGGTTCTTCAAGTACACACAAATTTTCACCAGTAACAGTATTATTTTCTTAGACAAGAATGTGGCTAACATATCTAACAAAAGAATTTGTGAAACTACATGGATTTGCAACAACCATCATCATTGATAGAGACTGCATCTTCCTTACTTGTCACTTTGGGGTAGAATTGTTCTGATAGAGAGACACAAAAAAGAAAGTACAGTAATAGGCAACAAGTACTTAGAAACATATTTGTGATGTGTTTTATCCGAAAAGATGGCTATCTTGTGCAGAGTCTAATACCTTATACCAGAGTTTACAAAAAATGTCTTCTTTTCAAAATCCATAACAACCCTCCATTATTTTTCAAATTTTTCTCTAAGGTAGAAGATGCTATTAGACTTTAAAATGAAAGAGACAATTACTACAAAAAGGGATGAAGTATCATGCAGAAAAGAAAAGAAGGGGACTTTAACTCACTCAGTGTTGGCGGTTGTGTTATCTTAAGGTTAAACCTTAGCACTTGAAATATTTACCTAGGAAGTGGATAAGAAGTTATCTCCATGTTAATATGACCCCTACAAGTGCTTACCTGTTTAATCCCTTCATTTGCAGTTCTGTTTGAAGTTATCTACGAAAATTTCTCATCCTGTTTGCAGTTTTGATACTGATTTGAGTTTTCTTTTTCTGTCTTAGGCTAGTTTAGATGGTTCTTTTGGATCTTTAAGTAGAGAAATATTGATCCAGCAATATTACAGAAACTAGCTAATGAAAACGGAGTAACAACAAATAAATTAGTTTTAAATCCCAAGCCCCATAGAGATTAAATAAAATCCTAATTTTCCCCTTAATGTAATATAAGAATCAATCAAGGTATCAATTTAAGGAAATCCATCTCTAAATAGTTATTCGTGCGAGTCAAGTCAAATATAAAATGCTATTTTTGGAGGAATTTTATATAACTATGTGTAAATGATATGAAAAACTATAATCGAGATGTCAATGCATGAAACTAATGCAATGGAACTATCTAAATCAGTGAATAATGCAAGTCTTTGATGAAATTCTTAAGTGAAGATGCATTTGCTGAAAGGTGTTTGTTAAAATGTCTCAATGAAAGGGAACTATGAATTATGCACATGTGAATGTTGGAATGGAACATGTTTGAATTAGGATAACTATTCATGAGATGAATTAAAAACTACGAAACTACTCAAAATTATCAAATCTGCACTTGAAAACAAAATTGGACAAAAACTCAACAACTGTTTTTGCACTACATGAATGCTATGTAGATAATGCGTGAAGCTATGATGCAATAGATTATACGATGGAATGAGCATGCAAACAAGTTTAAAATACTACTAATTACATTCAGAACAAAGAATTGCACAAAAGAATCAAAGTATAGCAAAATCCCCTAAATCTAGAAAAACTAGAAAACCTAACGTCTAGAAATGGACATGAACTGAATTAACAAGGGAAACTAGAATCAAATTATCAGATTATATTCATGCAAGTTTCTAGTACTACAACAAAGCAAGACAATGAATTATATCACCAAGAACAGTGGAGAAATGGAAATTTGCAATGTTAAACAAAAAATAACAGTATTAACGTAAAAACATATTTAACTACTTTTTCAATTCTCTGAAATTTGGTGCAAAATGTGTCAAATAGTTAAAGGTTGATAATCGTGTGCGAAGAAGAGTGTAAAACAGTAATCAAACGCAGAATTAGGAGAAAATCAGAACAAACATTACAAAGCTGGAGCTAGAATGTGAAACGCACCATAGATACTGTTCCACTTCCAACTTCAGAGAAAATCCTAAAGTGAACTCTCCTCCCTCACGTATTATCAACTCTCTTCCTCTCAATCTGTCCAGCAACGGGCCTTATATAGGCTTCTCTCTATTTCTAAAACTGAAAAACCTGTAAAACTGTCTATAACCAGTCTTTAGAACTGCTAATAACAGGTAAAATTTATTTACAATCTGTCCAGGCCAGTCAAAACATGTTTACAAGTTAAAAAGGTAGCAAGTACAACAGTTCAGCTTCAATCTTCTGTCCAGGCCATTGAAAGTCATCCTCATGCATACTCTGTCTCTTTAAGTTCTTCACTGGATAGCACAGGTCACCAATACAACTCCAGCCATTCTCCAGTCACACTCATGGTCAAACTTGATCCTCACTCAAATGCGTAGTAACTGATTGTCTAAGGTGCAGCTCTTGCCTTGGCTTACTCCAGCATGTGGCAACTTGTGATTTCAGCATAGGTGCAATTCTGGTGCAGGTCTCTCACATTCGTTTCTTCAATGATGAATTGACCACACGACCCATGCTTTGCTCACTGATCCAGCTTTTTCAGACTTTAAGACAACCAGCACATTCATTCATTGGCTGCACCAAGTGATACTGCTGCTTGCTTTTATGATAAGTTCAATTAAAGCAATCTGGACTAGCTAAAAACTGCACCAAAAACTGATATAACAAGACAAATTTATTTACAATTAAATGCTCCATGCTGAAATACACAATGCAATTAAAATCAAAGCTGAAATGCCTACTTTCTACTTCAAAACTAAGTGCAAAACTAAACTTTATTCTTTAAAAGGACTAGCATTCTACAAAATTTCAGATTGTACTAAAAACTCTATCTAAAAACTTCAAAACAACATATTTTTGGAATTTTGGCAATATATTCTAGAAAAACCAAATATGAGCTAAGACTAAGAAATAGGAACAATCTAAAAACCCAAGGAAGCAATCTTAACCTCTAAAAAATGTCTACTTTCTACTTCAAAACTAAGTTCAAAACTAAACTTTATTCTTTAAAAGGACTAACATTCTACACAAATTCAGATTGTACCAAAAAATCTATCTAAAAACTTCAAAATAACAATTTTGGAATTTTGGCAATTTATTCTAGAAAAACCAAATATGAACTAAAACTAGGAAATACGAACAATCTAAAACAAAAGGAAGCAATCTTAACTAACAATCTGCAAAACCGGGACTCATCAGTTAGCAGGCAGGGTTGTTTAATACACTAAAGCTAAAGGAAGCAACATTTTCCTATAACATCACAAAAAAAATATAGCTATGGACCAAGAAGAAAAATTAATAACAAACAATAATGCAGAAAAAATGGTAAAAAAAATTCAAACATGCAATCTAGAAAGATACATGCACGTTGAGATAAACACCATAGCAGACCGAATTCCCATTCTTCCATTTTTACATAGAATATGCACGAAGTGTGCATCCTTTACCGTTTTACAGATGAATATGACCTGTTGCTTAAGTGATTCAACTGTTTTAAAGCCTTCATATGCCTCGTAGACATACATATTTTCTTGGTAATGTTCACGCAACTATTGCATATTACTTGTAGTTGTTGCAGAAAAGAATTGATTTGGTCCATTTTCAGGTAAGCACTGAAAGACAAATTTCAATGCCTCCTGAAAACAAACATCCCGAACTCAATCTGCTTCATCCAAGATAACAAACTGCAGAAGAATATGTCAAATGTTAATTCAAAGAATTGTGAACACAAAGCAAGAGCAATGCATAATGATTAAGTATAGAGCATGCAGTTTTTAGTACTAATATATGCAAAAAAAGATTGTAATCAATGTATAGTTTTGTTTCACATTTGAGACAATCTAGATTGTTTTTCTTTCAATAACTTTGGTTTGGAGGAGTTTCTATTCAAAGACAATATAGATCACAATAGTAGTACAATTGCTTCATCACAATCTTATTTAGGAGAATTATTTGTCTTCACTCCTCTAGACCACTTGTGCTTTCCCTCACTTTGTCAAGTATTACATGAAAATGTTTACATTTACTGCAAAAATCATAACAAAATAGCAAAAATAATTGAGCTTATATTGTGATAAACACTTACACAAGTGTTTGGAAGAACTAATGATATGTGAGTTATTTTCAACTTATTTCAATAAAATCACAGATAAATTTTGAAAACAGCTCCTAAAGTCTGTGAAACAGTTCAACAAGTTGATTTCCTCGACTATAAAGCAACTTAGCCATAGTGGTTTTCCAAATGTGGCCTAAATTTAAATTGTTTATCAATAAAAGAGTCTAATTAAACTGTTTATCCAAAACTACTCAAAATCCAGTTACTCATTACCTTGGTTCCGGAGAAAATGGGAGAAGTATTAGGGTTAATGCACCCAAAATTCAAATGTTTATCAAATCATAAGCACATATTCAATATGAACTTAATTAAGGTTATGATAGGATTAAAGTTTGTAAACTTGAATTTGGCTAACGTTTATTTGCATACCGAGTTTGTTAGTGCAACTCCCCCTTTAGTGACTTCTTCAAGACAAAGTCATGCATTTTGGATTAAAAGCATTTATAGCAACAAAAATTTCATAAATGGTTCATACATTAGAACGCTCAATTTTGCAACTTTAAATCGAACATGCAGATAGTAAAGCTAATGTTGAAATCAAAATCAAACGAGATTAACTTGTTTGTCAACTTTACCTTTTACATCTACTTCAGTCCTTCAAACTGAAAACCTGACGTACACAAACCCGTGTACTGTTTATCTAAACTCAATTCAGATAAGGTTTTCCTTGGTTGATGATTCTCATTTATGGTCCGAATGTGAAGGTTCAAAAGTTCAAAGAGTGCAAGTGTCTGTGGCTGGTAACTGCAACAAAATTCAATTGACACACGAAAAGGTCTAGAGAACACTAATTTATTTATAAAAAGTAATGTTAATGAGTATCGTACGTAGGAATACAACAATTATTCCTTTAAGAGGGAACAGAACAATAATGTTGCAAAGCTGCATAAAATCAAATTCCAGTTCATGCTAAAAATTAACACAGCACCAGCAAAATTTTGCAGTGTCCTCGGCCATCATTATGAAATTTTCTAAATTTCAGACAGCTAAAATGAAACAACATACATCATTCCATAACAACTTTTGCACCAAGAGCTTTCAGTTTCTCCATTATCTTCTCCCCTTCTTCTTTTGAAACACCTTTCTTTAAAACAGAAGGTGTTTTCTCCACCAAATCCTTAGCTTCCTTCAAACCTAAATCAGTAAAGCCCCGGACCTCCTTGATGATTTTGATTTTGGAAGCCGCTTCGTAGGACTCCAATTTCAATTCAAACACAGTTTTTTCCGGCTTTTGCTCCTCCTTGGCCTCAGCTGGGGCTTTCGCTGCCATTCCAGCCAAATTCCCCGCTCCTGCTTTCATAAATCCCACATTAGGCATCTCCTTCACTCCCATTTTCTTCATCAGAACAAGACCCAATTCTGCAGCTTCAGCTACCGTAAGAGATGCAATTTCATCAACAAGCCTGAAAACTCTTTCTGATGGAGGACCTCGATGATCATCGGGATCAAATGTAGAAGGATCAAAATCAGCTGGAAGACTTCTTTGGTCAATTTCCACTTCGTCTACATCCTCCTCCTCTTTCCTTGCAGGCTGACCAAAATTTCTTGAAAAAGCACTTATCTTACTAAAGTTAAGCCGCACTACTGTTGGCTGAAAAGTTCGCCTACACAAACCATGGGGTAAATGATGCCTTATTCTTGAAAGTAAACTCATTCTCAACTGATTCCTATACAGTCTCTCAGAATGGAAAATCAATCGCGTTTAACACCCATCGGGTTCGCCTAATCCAATAAAACAATTCACCCTGAAAGCAGAAAAAACAGAACTGAAACTTACGTTTGTAGAGATTTTTGAAACATTATTGGACTCATTGGTCCTGTTCGGATACCACATCTTCGAACCTAGTTCACTAGAAGGTTGGACAATATTAAAAAAGCAAAAACGACACTAGAATTGTTTGTCTCTTGGTGAAATTGAAGCAGAACGCACCTGGGTAACAATTCCGTGGTTCACTGTTTCTCTCTTGTCAGATTTTCAGCGTTTCGACGTTCGCATTTGATCGATCTCACTGCTCTCCCTTTTCCTTTCTATGTTGTCTGTTCGATAAATTAGTGGGTTGGGTCATATTAGGGTTTTAGTTTTGGGATTTTGTGGGCCTCTTTAAGTCCAATAACTCTTTTTAAAAAGGAAAAGTTTTTTTTAACAATTTTTTTACAACTTTTAAAATATATACATAGTATAATCAACTGACAAAAATAATAAAAAAAATATTTTTAAAACATAATATATTACAGGTATTTTAATATAATATTAAATTATTATTTTATTTATAGGCATTTTATATAGGCTAAAATATGTCTCTCTATTCCCTCAAAATTTGGTTACTTTTATATTTACTCTTTCAAATTAAAAATGGCTTCTTTTCTTGTCTCTGAATTTCAAAAATGTTGTTTTGATATTTGCGAACTAATAATAATATTACACAAGTAACAAAAATAATGAAATTAATTTTTTTAATAATATCGTTTCAAACCCTTAAATTCATTTTAAATTTTTTTAAGAATTAAAACATAAAAACATATTTTCAAAGCCTTAATTTTAACATTATTTTTCTCTACTTAAACACTTGTTAGTAACCTTAATAATTCTTTGATAATATAAAATTTGAAAATAAAAATGGAGTATTTCAAAATTAGAATACTTAGAACAACACTTTTAAATACTACACATATTTTTTAACACGGAGAACATAAAAACTAATTTTAAATTCAAGGGACATAAAATTCAATTTTATATTTAAAGTGTAAAAAAAATATTTTTAAATTTGAAGGACTATTTAACAAAACAAGTTAAAAATATATTTTCGTTTAATTTGTAATAACCTAGAAAATGAAGTATTAGAATAGATAAGTATTTTAAACTAATGAGACCAATTATTTTAAAATAAAAATAAGTCGATACTATAGATAAAATTTCATAGAGTCGTCTCATTGCTTAAAACACACTTCATCTCTTTAGAACTCGTTTTTTAAACTCTCTCTATCTTCTCTCTACATTTTCTTACTCTCTGATCTTCTGTTTGACGATCAGAACGTTCCTAGAGGATCACGGCGAAGTATTCTCCACTTTCAACCGATTGATTCTCTATTTATAACAAGTAAGTTTCTACCCCTTTTTTCAGTATATAGGTTTATGATCATGCGTACCAAATCTGCCTGCATGTTTCAATTGAACTTCTTCTTTGGTTCTTGGTTAATTATAGGTCCTAAGATTTCATCTTAATTATCATTTCGTCAATTGTAGGTGTTTTCTTAAAATTCTTCGTGGTGGGAGCGTCAAGCGAGAAATTGTTGAACTATCTTAGTTTTCCCTAAGGTAAGGGAAGACAATTTGTTTTTCATAGGTATAGTAAGATGTTTGAAATCTGTGAATTTTGTGTATGTGATTCTATGGTAATTTATGAGGTTAAATTTAGGGAAAAGTGTTGAATGCTTGTAAACTTATGATGTGTTTTTAGAATTATGAAGGTGTGGTTGCTATTATGAGTTGTTGCATGATGAACTTAATGTATTATGAGATAAAAGGGTATTAATAATGATGTTTGGGAAGGTATGAAAACTACAGTCCAATTTGTTGCTTAAATTGATGAAGTGGGTATGTCAATTTTTGGAATAATGATCATAATGTGAAATATGCAGTTTGGTATTTGTTTTGGAGTGGTTTATGATTGGTTATCATCATTAGATGGTCAACGTTTAGAAGGTTAAGGGAGGAAGATAAAATAAGTTCAAATCTTACTTGTTTTGGAGTGAAAATTAAGGGTTTTGGTAGGTGGATTTTTTAGTAAGTAGTGGGTTGGGTAAAAGGGATGTTTAGGGGTTGTTTTGAAGTCCATTTGGACTTGTGAGAGTGGTTAAACCAGTAAAAATTTGGTTTATTATGCATAAATGAGTTGGTGAAGATTGGTTGAAGTGATTTCAAGTCCATTAAAAGGGTTTTGGGTAGTGAATTTGTAAAAGAGCAGTTCTGTGGAGTAAGAGTTGGCTTAAGGTTTATTTTCGAGTCAATTTAAAGTTGTTTGTGTAGGAAAATCAGTAACATGATTGGTCTAAGAGTTAGAATTGAAATTGGGTTGTTTAGAGAGCTTAAATTAGGTTGGAGTGGCAAATCTAAGTACAATGGTATTTCCATGGGTTTCTTAGTGTTTTAAGGTCTTAAGAAGTATTAGAAGTTGAAGGTCAAGGGAGTAAAGTCAAAGAAAAAGAGGAAATGGGATTTGTCATGTCGCTGAGCGGTCCTTTTTTTACGCCTAAGCGCCAGCTCTCGGGTGACAGTATGCTGAGCGCCAGCTGGGTGCCAACTCTCTGTCTCGGCAGCGCTGAGTGCCAGCTAGCAGGGTGGATTTTTGAGTTGTTTTGGGTATTCTAGGGCATTGGTCTGGGTTATTTTATTTCTTTCATTAATGCTTCATGGTTTAAATTGTGTGGATAAAATGTGGAATGAGGTTATCTAGGTATGACTGAATTATTGTTAACGAGAATTCCAAGGAGGAATATCTTATTAGGGGATTCATGTGTATAAATAATATAAATTGTAAGAAGCTGATATGGGGTTATCTTGACACTCTAATGATCATCCATGCTCAATTAGAGAGTGATGAGTCATATCGTGAGAGGAGCAGGAGGTCCTAGCTTGGGGGACCTTTCTTCATGGTGGCAAGGGGAATTTTAAGGACTAACCTTGTGTGGCAGCTTTGAGTGATTTAGTTGTTTCACCACACAGATGCAAAGCTTTCTATGGCTCAACATTTATACTAGATAGTAAAGAGTTTGGCCAAGTTTGAGTCGGTATGTGTTAAGGAAAACAATGTTATAACTATTATGTGCTTGAAATGGTAAATTGTATTTACCTTAATATGAATAAGCATTTTACAATTAGCTCACCCTTCTTGTATGTTTCTTGGTTGTTTGTTCTATGTGTTTTTCTTTTGGCGATGATCATCTGGTGGGTATGAGTAAAGCCTAATGATGTGACCGTTGAGCAAGCATTAGGCGACGAACGTGTAGTAGTTTTAGTATGTTATTTTCCTTATTGGTTAGCTTATAGTGGTGGTTTTTGATACACCATTCTTGTGCATAGTTTTGATACTTATACTTGTTGTATATAAAATTAATTTTATAATTATTTTTGGATGACTGTAGAAATGACTTTATATTTTTTTTTCCAGCTTGTTAAGTGATGTACATTGTATGATATTTTCTTTATGGTTTAAATAATGTATTTGGGATGTTACATCATTATTATATTTAGCATTAACAACCAAGTCAACAATAAATATAACATTGGATTACAAAAATTATTTTGTGAAAATTGGAAAAAGGAAAAAAAATTAAATACTAAGAGAAAAAATTATCCAAATTAAAATCATTAAAAACATATAGGCGTTTAAAGATAAATTTATATAAATATAATGTTTTTTTATCAGCAAAATACATATCTAATGTATATAATAAGAGGAGAATGAAATTACTAAATCTTAATGGAAGATACCAATGTTATTCATATTCTAAAGTCACGTATGAATTTAAAGAGTGAACAAAACTTGAAGCATTATCCTTTCAAATCAGTAACAGCTCAACATAATGGAAATATAAGAATGATGAGTCGATAGGAAATTTAAATTATTTATCTTATACACTTCATTAATTTTATAATCAAGATATATTAAAATGTCACATTTCGATTTTTAATTATTAATGTGTTATTGTTATTTTCTTTTTATCTCGGCAAATTTATTTACTTAATATATATTTATGTAAGTAATCTTAATATTGAAACAAGTTATTTACGGATTTTTTTTAAATTTTTTATTGGAATTAGTCAAAAAGTCAATGCTAAGATACAAAAATTAACGCTAAGCAGTTAATAATATTATTTTAAATTAGATCATTAAAAACATAGATATTAATAGAAATAGTATTGTCTTTTTTATAGTTAGCTTACTTAACGTTAAAATTGTAATTAATGTTAAAGAAATTTAACAATGTGTTTATATTAATTCCAATTATAAATTACAATCATAGGAAAATTTGGATTTATTTTAAATTAGGTTGTCTATCTTTTACTTTTAAGTTTAAACCTTGTATAATGACATGAAGTAAAATCTACATTATAAAATGTTTTACATTGTGAATGTTGGAATTTTATCTTTATGATGTATATAACTTTCTTATTTATATCATCTTAAACTAACCATTAAATTTTTAATAATTTTTTTCTTAAAAGTAAATCTCTTCTGTATTAGTATCTTTTTTTTTAGAACATTTTCATTTAGATCCCGATATATTCACAACCTGTTTTGACAACATTTTGACAACGAACATGTGTCAAAATGTTATTTGACCATTTTAAATAATATTTTATTCGTGGCGTGCAAGAGTTAATGAATTTAGTATTTGAAAATACTCCTGCCATTTTTGTTTTCATTCTCCCTCCACTATGCATTTTCGTTTGCAATTTCTGTGTGCGCTTTCTCTCCTTTCTCTCTCACGAAGCAAGCATAAAGGGTCATCTTCTCCGACGAGATAATCCGACGAGACTCCGGTGAAGCAATGGAAAGCTCCGGTGACAAGGTGTTTCCTTTCTCCTTTGCATTTTCCATTTCCCATTTCCCATTTCCCTTTTTTCCCTTACTCCATTTTCATTTATTCTTTGGTCTTTTTGGATGTACCCATTTCCATTTTGAGTTCGGTCGCTGGTTATTGTTTTATTTGTCATGCAGTTAATTTGTTTCTGGATTGAAAGGAAGATTGACCCGGAACAAAGGACCGTTATTGGAAATACACCATTCATATTGGTCGGCCGTGGAGAAAAGCTCATTAGTTGGTGGTGAGGATGGGAGTGGGTTGTCGCAACAACGACATGCCACTATGGAAGAGGAAGCCCTTTGATTTTAATTAGCGCGTTCTACCATTGGGGATTTGTTAGGGTTTAAGGTTTTGGAAGGGGGAAGAAATTTTGAAGGGTTTAGATATGTGAGGGAAAGTGGGAGAGAGAAACAATTGTGACAGTCTAGAGTGTTGGGGAACAAAACAAGGTTTCATTCTGTAATCGATTACCTAA